CGGATCTTATTAAGATGGCTACAAATTATAGGGGAAGAGTAGCATCACCATGGCTACAGAGTATGGGGTCGGATCTTATTAAGATGGCTACAAATTATAGGGGAAGAGTAGCATCACCATGGCTACAGAGTATGGGGTCGGATCTTATTAAGATGGCTACAAATTATAGGGGAAGAGTAGCATCACCATGGCTACAGAGTATGTGGCTGGTGGGGGGGGGGGGGTCTTACCAACATGGCTAAAACTATAGGGGAAGAGTAACATCACCATGGCTACAGAGTATGGGGCCGGATTTTATCAAGATGGCTACAAATCATAGGGGAAGAGTTGTATCACCATGGCTACAGAGTATGGGGCGGGGTCTTATCAACATGGCTACAAATTGTATGGGGAAGAGTTATATCACCATGGCTACAGATAATGGAGGAGGGGGTCATGTGACTTTGGCTACAGATTATAAGTTGGGTTGGGTTCATATCTGTGTGACTACAGAATATAGTGGGTGGGGCCCTGTTTTTACATGTCAATTTGAATGTTATTGAATTACTTAAAAGGTAATATTATTTTTTTATCTCAATTGTTTGAATAAAACATTGGTTCAATTGTTTCTGTTATAACAGGAAAGGATCAAGATTAAAGATAAACAAGGCAAACACTGGTGATGGTGGTACATATACCTGTAGAGCCACCAATGTTCTGGGTTCTACTGAAGCCCTCGCTAAAGTTACAGGTAAGTCTGCATGACTGCTTTTTTGAAGCAACTCACAGCTATGGAGCTGATATAGTCCTCTGCTTTAGAGAGAGAGTAGGTACAAACATTGAATCTGACTCCATTGGGATGGCTTTTCTCCTTCATCATGTCATATAGAGCGTATAGCTACACTCAATACTCAATTCATCATATAGAGCTAGCTACACAAAGTACTCAATTCATCATATAGAGCTAGCTACACACAGGACTCAATTCATCATATAGAGCTAGCTACACACAGGACTCAATTCATCATATAGAGCTAGCTACACATAATACTCAATTCATCATATAGAGCTAGCTACACATAATAATCAATTCATCATATAGAGCTAGCTACACACAAAACGCAATTTTTCATATAGAGCTAGCTACACACAGTACTCAATGCATTATATAGAGCTAGCTACACACAGTACTCAATTCATCATATAGAGCTTAAAAAGCTACACACAAAACTCAATTCATCATATAGAGCTAGCTACACACAAAACGCAATTTTTCATATAGAGCTAGCTACACACAGTACTCAATGCATTATATAGAGCTAGCTACACACAGTACTCAATTCATCATATAGAGCTTAAAAAGCTACACACAAAACTCAATTCATCATATAGAGATAGCTACACACAATACTCAATTCATCATATAGAGCTAGCTATAGCTACACACAGTACTCAACTGTGACATCATATAGACCTAGCTACACACAGTACTCAATTCATCATATAGACCTAGCTACACACAATACTCAACTGTGACATCATATAGAGCTACAAGATGTGGAATGTCCACCCCATCATTTATACAGAGCTACATGTAATATTTCAATGCTACTTATTATATTTTATTTAGAATCTTTCAAAAAGCTTTTTTTTTTTATATAGGGAAGTACAGTACTTAGTCTAGCCTGTCTATTAACAGCAGAACAAGCCTATATGTTATACTGAATGTCTGTAAATCCTGTATTAAACCATGCAGTTTGGTAAATCAATAGAGCAGGATACTGTTAGCAATAAAGTGTGGCATGTTCGGCTAGATTATAGCTCACCATTCTACAATTGCAATGTGGGATTTTGCAGACCTGGAGTAATTTTGCCATTTGATATTTGTTGAGATTGTTGTTGAGATTCTATTTGACATTTCAATTTAATTTTGTCAGACCTCATGCTGCCCCTTTGTATTGAATTGTAGCACCAAATTGTTTTCTCAGAAAACCTCAATACACTCATAGTAATACTGAACCTCTGCTCAAGATGCTATTATGAGGTTGGGGGGTGGGGGTTAGGTAGGAGTGAGATTGGATTTGTGTCATAATATGATGATGATGAAACAAATAGATTCCTGACTCTGTCTCGCCTGACCTATACAGCCATCTTATGAGGTCAGTAGTGGACCGCAGCTGACCTTAATGACCTACTTATGAGGTCAGTAGTGGACCTCAGCTGACCTTTATGCCTATTTATCAGGTTAGAAATGGACCTTACCTGATCTCTAACTTCCTATGTTATCGGGAGCTATTGGTAGTCTTTATCAAAAGGATTACAATCACCTAGTACAGCAGTCTGTTCTAACATAAATATTATATAGGTATAAACCTATATATAGGTTTGTCAGGTTGTGGAAGAGTGGCAGAGACAAATGAAGAAATGATGTCCTCTATATGGAGTATAAGGCCCAAACAATCCTGATGACATTTTACCTACAGATAGTAAATACAATGTTCATTCTGTTGTGGTGATACACTATGAGGTACAAGCATTAAAATACAAAACCAAAATAAAATTAATTTTATGAAGACTATTTATGTTGCTTTGTGTTCTGAATTCTAATTAGTTTATGTGTTTACACCTGATAAACAGTGTCTGATCAGTACAGGTGTTCCCTTCTGTTGAGTGAGTATTGCTGAGTAAGGAATAATTGTCTGTTGTATAATTTATGTCAGCCAGGGACTGAATGGCACTGCGGTGATGCTGCTCTTTAAGACTGTACATCTGTCAGGATTAATGAGTATTGGACATAGCTTACGATAGTGGCTGGTGACTTGAGGTAGAACATTTGAACTAGATTTTAGAGATTCTCAATTTCTGGGTTTTAAAGGATCATTGCAGTTATTCAGAATTAACAAGTGTCTCGATCTACCTGGAGTGGTCATTGGTGCAATCAGATTTTATCATTACAAGACGAATCAGTGGTCAATACCAGATACCAGAAAACAGTGGTCACTACGATAAAACAGTGGTCAATACTAGAGAACAGTGGTCAATACTATACTGGTCATCATACTTGTGTTAAGTCTCTGTGTAATCACTTATAATCTACAGGTTATACGAGTGCGTTACTAAAGTACACTATAGACTGAAGCAGATGGTCTATACACTAGAGCCTCTGGCCCAACAGCTTATAGTCCTGTACTGAAGGAGGTAGAACAATGAGGAATTACCCATTATATAGTGGTCAACAATGAAAGGTTTTGAATCTTTATCATAAGAAGCTTATACATCTGGTTAACATATGCATTCCTAGGCTCATAACAGCAAAGCACTCTAGTGATTAGGATCAAGTTATGGAATTATTGAAATTTTAGAGAGAATTTCAAAACTGTAGATATTGGCAGACTAGGTGACACATAAGAACCTGTGAATGATGTAACAGATAAGATTGGTTTGTATCAAACTGTAAATTGGTGTATGAGGGATGTTTTTTATTTGCAAAGAACATTTTGGCCGGAATTCAAAAACACAATATGCATTTATAACTGGCAGGAATTCTCCTAGTCTGCAATGTAACCCCGGTAAAATGGATAAGGCATGTAGGCTAATGTGTCTGTCCTCTCCCTCAGGATCTTATCCCTTCCCCCATTTCTTGGATCCTCCTTATTCACCTGTCCCAGAGCCCTATCCCTTCCCCTGCCCCAGAGGCTTATATGAAGGAACTATCCGCCTACCTTGTCCTACCCTCATATCTTAGGTAATGGATGCCATATATCTGTGATTAATATAAGTGGTGAAAAACAGGAATCTGTTTTGTGTTTATCATTCTACAGGTAGTCAAGCAGATACAAGGCATTGCAACAGATATTTAACATACCTGAACACCTATATATAACAGGAACCCGTTGAAGCATTGCAAGAGCAATTGCATGTATAAAACAGATATGGTGTAAAAAAATGAAAAGGCCCCCATTTATTGATATGTGACCAAGATTAAGGTGCCCAGTGATCCTGTACTTGTTAATTAGTGTAAGGTTTAATTATGCATGGTTTAGGTGACTGATGACCATGACCCCATATACCAACTCATTAGTTTATAGGTAATAGGTATGTATACTGCGTATAGGTCTGTATGTGTTATATAAATTGTGCATAGGTACATGTATACCACACTATTATATCTACACATTGTGTTAAGGAGAAGACATTTCCAGGGGACTTAATCTTAGAACATTTGTTCCCAAATGTTTGTATCGTTTAACATTTAGACAACTTAGAACTTGGTGTGTTTGATAAAGAAACGAATCAAATTAAATCTTGCCATATCCCCCTGTAGTCAGCAGTCAGGTGAGAGATTGAATGCAATGTGCTGTCTGGGGACCTTCCTGCTCCTGCTGATCAGTGTAAACAGGGCAACAACAAGGCTGTAGTGTGTTCTCTATTTACACAGACCCTAGTGGGAGGGACATCGGGGAGGGGATGTCCCCACCGAGCGTAATACCCCTCTTTTGTCAATGGAATCCTTACTGGTATCATTTTGTGTACATGGTCTATATTCCATTTAGGTATAATTTGAATTTAAAACGTAATTCTGCATTTGGAATGTAGGAAAAGGTGATGAGACCAATCAGCACAGAAAATACATGAGGATGATAAGGACCAAACTACCTGTCACCTACTTAGTCGGAGGTCAATGAAAGGGGAATTGTGAAGTCTGATCTCACATAATATGTTTCTCTCATCGGCCGTTATTCTTAGAATAAAGAAGCTCAGTTCTTGGAGTTATATCATCTATTCCAAAAACATATATAAAAACATGATACATTGTATACACCGAAATCAGAATTTTTTGAGGCAAATTAAAGTAGAACCTTTCAAATTTTATTTCATTTAGATGCAAAGGGGGAAAAAAGATGTTTCTGCGTGCAAGTTTCTAAAATATAGACATTTGTTTAGAATTTGAAAAACAAGTTGTTAAATAGCAAGACATGGGGATAAGACTCTTACAACAAATCTTGGATTCCTTGCAATCATTGTTTTTACTGCAAAAATGGAATGCTGTTGATTGCAACAAATGCAGGTTTATTGCGGTACATCACCATGGTGAGTTTTTGGGGATAACAGCAGTTATGACCACCAACCTTGCTGTAGTCTGTCTGATGGCATTTATGTGTATTCCTAAGTAGAGTTTGCCAAAACAACAGTATATGTGTGTATATCTATTCAGCTTTATAGGGTCAAAGTGTCAAGGTCATCAATGGAAAATATTCAAAACAAACCAAATAATAAAAGTGTTATGAGAGACTTCAGTTGAGTTTTATTAGCTCACCTGGCTCCAACATCCAAGTGAGCTGCTATGCCAGGGTGCAGCATATATATATATATCCATCATCGGTTTTCCTATAAAGTCTATAGTCCAGACCAACAAAATGGATTTTGACTAAATTTTGCCTGGATTATCCCATTAACGTAGAATAATTGAAGCTGTGTCTCCTTGGAGGGTTAAAAGAGGGACAAGGCCCAGAAGTGAAAAATTAGTTTTTGTTTTAAAAAATATTTCCTTCTGTATGGGTCAAGCAAAATGCAACTTTTCTGTTTTAATTGTTTGGGTAAGTAAGAAATCTTGGGGTGGCCACTGTAGTCTCAACTTCGTATAGAAAAATCTTTAGTAACACAACAATACATGCCTGATAGGCCTCTTGTTTTCAAATTTCATGTCATATCCCATAGCTATTAACTGACAACAGTCATTTGCATTTGTTT